CCCCCAAAAAAAAAAAAAAAGAGGCGCAATTCCTAGCCTAGATTTGTTTTTAGATATGACCCCTAGCGGCCCTAGCGTGCATCATGTGCTTTTGGCTATGGGGGCCGGCTTTCATGAAGCATATTCCTGAATATTCCTGAAACCAGGGTCTCAAAATCTTAAGCCCTAAACCCTAAANNCTCAAACCCTAAATCCTACACCCCAAACCCTAAACCCTGGCTTTTGCTTGACGGTGCGCCGCCGAGAGGCCTAGAGCCAGGAGGAGGAGCCGAGCCCTTGAGATGCGGGACCTGCGTTAAAGGAAACTACAGGTGAGGAGTTTAAGGTATAGGGTTTAGGGTATATAGGGTTTAGGGTTTAGAGTTTAGGGTATACAGGGCTTCTATAAGGCTTCTATAGGGTATATAAACCTTCTATAAGGCTCCTATAACGGTAACTACCCACCTGAAAATGTCCTAGTTTGCGTGTCATCGGAAGGGGTTTCGGGATTTAGGTTTAGGGCTCCTCACCCCTAGTTTATAGGGTATAGGGTATAGGGTTTAGGGTTTAAGGGTTTAGGGTTTAGGGTTTCCTTACCCCAAGTCCCAAGGCTCAAAGTTTAGGGTTTAGGGTTTAGGGTCCTTTGGGTTTAGGGTTTAAGGTTCAAGGGTTTAGGCTTTAGGGTTCCTTAACTTAGTTGCTGAGTTTATAAGCATAAAAAGGTGTACACTTTCAGTTTTATATGGGACCATATTCAGGTTTAGGGCTCCCTACCCTAAGGCTCAAAATGGCCGAACAACTTTATATAGCATGGTCTTTGGGCCCTAAAGCCTTAAACTGTGAGTCCCTAGAGCCTTACGAGGGTTAAGCTACATACCACATCCCAACTTTGTGTAGTGCCCCCTATACGGTCTATATATCTGAGTTTATCATAAGAACCTACGGAAACGAGTAGGTTGTGGCAGTTTAAGGTCTTGAAACTATGAACCATCAACATCAAAGACACAACCCCCTAAAACGAAACGATCAACCTCTACCAATCAAACTGAAAGACACACCCCTCAAAACTAGACGGTCAAACCCTTAAAACTCCAAACCCTACAAACCCATCAACCCTGGATCATGCAACAATGACCAGTGCTTGCTGGTATACGAGAAGTACTTTATATATTGTAGGCCCTATTACGAATAGGGATTGGGGTACTGGGGCTTAGAGTTTGGGGTTCAGGGTTTAGGCCCTAAACCCTGAACCACCAACCCTAGTTTAGGCTTATAGAGGATTCGGGTTCAGGGTTTAGGAATGCGGAGTGCGTCGCAATGGGGATGGTTGCTTGTCACCTGTATTAGGGGCTGACAGCTTCTACTACCCCAGGCAGAAACGGCCTGTCATGCTCCTAAGCCCGAAAAAATTTCGACCAAAACCGACTTTTTTTGTAGGCTGTTATAATGGGCCCGAATATAGAATTTATGGGGACCCCACACAAAATTGGGTGCACCCAGAGAATCCAAGAAGCCTTGCCTAACCCCCTGGGGCTCAAAATTCAAACAAAAGCCTTATATAGTATGGTCTTTGGGCCCAAAAGCGTTAAATCATGAGCCCTTAGAGCCATTGGGATCAACTTAGCTCAAAGTCAAAGTGTATAGAGAGTCCAGGCAGGACGGCTCTAAACCCTAAACTTTCCCTAAACCCTAAATGGCACCGGACTCTCTTGGCAACCGGCTTAATTACTTTCGGGCTCGAGGTTTCAGGGCTCTGGACTCGCGAATCCCAGTCATGATGCGAATAACCCGAAAAACCCCAAATCCTAAACCCGAAACCCTAAACTAAACCCTAAACCCTAACCCTAGACCCCAACCCCCAAACCCTAACCCTAAACCCCAAACCCTAAGGTTTAGGCAGTCGACCCAACAACCCTTTAAGCAACAAAACAGGCGTCCCCGATGCATCCCAGACTTGCTTTTCTCCCGCGCCTTTCAGCAAGCACTCAGGGTCATAGGCATAGGTGATACAGCCACGGCCATGGTATTACGGTACATGCCCAGAGACGCCAAAACCCAGCAACTAAACCTTTTACCTTCTGAGAGGAGGCCCTTTCTTGCTTGTCTTTTTTGGAGTCTCTGGTGCTTCAGCAGTCTCGGGCCGGGGGCTTGTATGGCTTAGGGTTTGGGTCCAGGGCCCAGAGGAAATTTCATCTCCGCGCCCCTGCATCCTTCAAGATGACCTGCACCTGGAAGCCAGGGTTCAGGGTTTAGGGTTTAGGGTTGAGGAGCACACTAGGGCTTAGGGTTTAGGGGTTTTGGGATTTTGGGGTTTTGGGATTTAGGGTTTAGGAGCAGACTAGGGCTTTGGGTTTAGGGTTTTGGGATTTTTGGGGCTTTGGGATTTAGGGTTTAGGAGCAGACTAGGGCTTTGGGGTTTAGGGCTTTGAGATTTTGGGGTTCAGGGTTTCGTGCTTAGGGCACCCGGTTCAGGTGTGATTTGAAGAAGGATCCTATTGCCTGTAAGGTTATACTGTTATACTAGCACTTAGGATAGGGGGTTTTGCCTGCTGCGCACCCTAAACCCTAAATCCTAAACCGTAGTATACCTGGATTAAGGAGCCCTAAGGACTACATCACGAAGTCTTCCGACCCCCTTACTCATCTTAGGAGGATAGCCCAAATTAAGGGAAACTACAGGTGGGGAATTAAAGGTTTGTAGGGTTTCTATAAGGTATATAGACCTTCTATAAGGCTCCAAAAACGGTAACTACCCACCTGAAAATGTCCTAGACTAAACCTTAAACCCTGAACTCACATTTTCGAAAACTGACACCTTCGCATGGCCCTCAGCTTTGGCAAAGCCCATGGCTGTCCTAGGTGTCGTTGTCAACAGTCCATAAATGTATCTGTAATTTGGGTTCTTATTAAGTACTTAAATTATATAGGAACGAAGGAAACAAAATAATGATTGAAGTTCTATAGGGAACAAATGTAAACAGTAAGAAACATCTGACACTTATCTTATCCATAAACCATAAACCCCTAGACCCCTAAACCCCTAAACCCCTAAACCCCCAAACCCCATACTTATCCCAAAATCGGTACCTAGCATCTGTCCCGAGAAGTCTTTCGCCTCGAGGAATGAAGCTTTTCGCTCCGCCTCAGGACATCTTGAAATTCTTGATGACAAATTGGTTTAGGGTTTGGGGGGTTTGGGTTTAGGGCCTCTTTTATAAGTAGGGTGTGTAGGGTTTTGAGCTCAACCCTAAATTCTAAACCCCAGGCCCTAGCAACACGTGAATGGCAAAATTTGGAAATTCAACTTAGAAGCCTCCACGAGGATCCGGACCGCTTCGCTACCGCCGTCAATCGCGGCGGCATGCAGCGGGGTCCTCCCATGATGGTCCACGACCATGATGTTGGCCTGCTCAGGACTAAATATGACTAAACCAAAACCCTAAACCCTAAGCCCCAAAGCCCTAAACCCTGAACCCCTAAACCCCTAAACCTTAAGCCCCCAAACCCCTAAACCCCCTAAACCCTAAACCCCTAAACCCCGCAACCCTAAACCCTAGCGTCCCAGTCGGGTTGAGGATGGACGGCCTTCGCCGCCAGGAGGATCTTCATCTCCTCAGCCCTGTTTTTCCCGGCAGCCCAATCCAACGGAGAGGAGTTGAAATTATTCCTAAGCTTTCCAGTAACACCTCTAAAAACACAGGTATCCTTTTGTTCATGCTTAAGAAAGAGACAACAACATTTAAAAAAATAAAAGGGTGCTACTGGGGCCTCTGGATGGGGATCAGGGCCCCTTTTCAGGGTCCTTTTTATAAGGGTGCCATACTATATTGGGGACCCCAAACGGGACCTTACTTTAGAAAACCACCCGTATGCTGGATTCTCTGATCCCGAAAATCCTCAACCGTTAAACCTCTAAAAGCTAAACCCTAAACCCGACCAGACCTGGCCTTTAGAGAACTACCCAAAGAAAACCCTGAAGGTACTCTTATAGAAGCCCTAGACAAGCTCCCAAAAAGGAACCCTAAACCCTAAACCCCTAAACCCCCAAAACCCTAACCCTAAAACCCTAAAACGCCTAAACCCTACTTTAGTTATCTCCCGAGATTCCGTGCATTGACATCGGCTCGTTCTTCAAGAAGAAACCGGACCACCTCCGTGCACCCTCGCCGGGCTGCAATATGTAGCGGTCTGGACTCCTGGGCTCTTGTTTAGGTTTTAGGATATTTAGAGACCCCGAAACTCCCTTAATTCAGGAATATTAGGGTTTAGGGTTTAGGGGCTTAGGATATGTAGGGGTCTAGGGTTTAGGGGTTTAGGGGTTTAGGCCGGTTTAGGGTTTAGGGTTTAGGATATGTAGGGGTTAGGGGTTTAGGGGTTTAGGCTGGTTTAGGGTTTAGGGTTTAGAGGTTTAGGCCGGTTTAGAGTTTAGGGTTTAGAGGTTTAGGCCGGTTCAGGGTTTAGGGTTTGAGGAGCCTAGAGATATTCCTTAAGCAACCACAAAAGGGATCTATGGTAAATAGCATGGCAACTTAGATTAAGTTCCCTAACAAGAACCCAGAATCGTGCTCATCTTTCTTGTTCACGGCCGTCGGGTGTTCCCGGAGGAAGTGCCGCACCGCGGCTACACTCTTTCCTTCGTCCCCTTCTGGCCCTTCTATAACCCTAAGGGTTTAGGGTTTAGGGGTTCAAACTACAACCCTAAACCCGAACCGCAAGAAAGGCAGAACGGATCCGTATAACAAGGACCTAGTTTCCGGCCGCGTCGTGAATGGTTTCACAGTCTGCTGCCTCTTTTTGATCCAAAGTGGCTTGATCCTCAGTGGCTTGATCGTTGGATTTGGACTCTTGCTGCTCATTCGACGCCTCGTCCTTTTGCTTCAGTTGTGCTTTCAGCTTCTTAAGCTCGCTCTCGGTCTCCTCCTGCAAGTCTTCCTTCTGTTTCCTTAGTTGCTGGGTTCATAAGCCCAAAAAAAATTACACTTTCAGTTTTATAAGGGAGAAATTACTCCGAAAAGTTTAATTAACTAAAGTGTAGTCATTCAGCTACTAAGTTTCAGTTCAGCCTTCAACTTCTCCACGAGCTGCTCTTGGGCCACACGGCTCGCACGCTCCTTCTCGAGTTCCTCCTTCAGCTGCTTCGCCTCTGCCTGCTCTTCGGTCTCCAGCGCCTTCATCAGAAGCTCCCAGTGGTCTTCCGGGATTTCCTCCTCGCGCTTCGTTTCCTTCATGATCTCCGTCAAGATATTGAAGAGGTTTACGCGGCGAGCATTTGGCTTGCGGAATCTTTGTTCCACAGATGCGCCCGTTCCCATGGCTGCAGCTGAAAAGTCGGGACACTTTCCGGTGATACTGTCCTGTGAAAGCCAACTCTCGCTCATCGTCTTGCGACAACCCTTCATGCTACGTTGCAAGCTCTGTTGGGCCGAGCCATTCCTGAATGAAGCTACTTTGAGCTGCATCGCGTGCCCATGCCAGCCCATAGATGAAGCTCATGAAATCCTGAAACTTCGCCACTCATTAGGGTTTAGGGTTTAGGGAAAGCGAGCTTGAGTAAATCCTGAACCCTAAAACCGCCATCATTCCCTTCGACGCTGCCTTCCACAGCAGCCCGACTTCTGGAACAACATCAAGCGGCACTATGTCCACCAGCCCCCGTGCTGCTACAGTAGTAGGCATCGCTTGCGAGAATTAGGTTCCGACTCCCTGCTGAGATGCAAAACATCCAAATCCTGAACCCCCCATTTTTGAGGGGCTTCCCACTTCCTCAGGCCTGCCGGCACGGAATCTAGGCCGCCAGAAACAGCGAGACCGAGGCGTGTTTGCCTGAGCCGGGTGTCAGCCATAAAGAATTTCTCAAGCAGCGCCCTGAGAGCATGGACTAGGGTTAAGGGTTTAGGGTAAGTTTAGGGTTTAGGATGTAGGGATTTAGAATTTAGGGGTTTAGGGTTCAGGGTAAGTTTATTAGGGTTTAGGATGTAGGGATTTAGGATTTAGGGGTTCAGGATTTAGGGTAAGTTTAGGGTTTAGGATGTAGGGATTTAGGATTTAGGGGTTTTGGGCTTGGGGGGATTAGGGTGTAGGGGACTGGAATGCCCTCAGAGTCAAAGTATACATTGAATTATTTGTGCACGTGGATCCTGAGGGATGCAACTAGAGAGGGATGGGGTTTGGTTTGAAGGGTTTGGGGTTTAGGGTTTGAACTTTCTAGTGTCGAGGGGGGGAAATGATGTAGGGCGGAGCTGTGGGGTTACATCGTATGTGCGACTCGCACAAGAGGGATGCCCAGCAGCACACTAATTCAGGGGATGCCAGATTCGGGAAGTCCTGGTTCAGTGTCCAAGATGTGGAGGCCCCAGTCAGTCTGTGGAAAATGCTATCTAAGCCCAGTTGGGTTTCCATAGTTAGTGAAAGGACCCTTGTGAAGGATCCTGACAGCAAGAAACAAACGACTAATATAGGGGCCTCAATAATTACCTATATGATTTTGGGAGTCCTTATTATATTTATGGTATAACAGGTCCCAAAACCCTATTCTAATTATAAAGGCTCCTATATTACGAATACTACCCAATCATGTCAAGGGGGCTGGGAGTGACTCTAGGAAACCAAACAAGAAACGCCTGAAGATGTTTAGGAGTTGCGGGCAAGACTCAAGATCAGCACCCGGGAAGATGCGTCTTGATGCCCTAAACCCTGAACCTTGAACCCTGTACGCAGGTCCGTCCTCTGTTTGATTCTTGTTGAACCTGGTCAGTCCTGCTGCTAACTCCGATATGCAATCGCTGTCCAGGTATGACCTGCAAAGCGCAAGCGAACGCCTGGACAATAAGAGAAAAAAGCGCCCTAAACCCTAAACC